GTTGTACATAAATACTGTACTATTAATATGGGAAATAATACAGTATGGTCCTTATGTACATCTCAATGTATGTTTTAATCTAGGAGGAGAATTCAATCACACACCGAAAATTGCCTTAATTAAAATAGAATTCTGCCTAGAGAAGGAGGGTTTTCATTATATGGAGAAGAAAAAGTGGAGGCCCATAAACACTATGGAATTTAGCTAAAAGTTTGAAAATATACGCATGACCAAAAAAAAAAAAAAAACCCTCTTCCTATCCAAACTCCATGCAACAGATTACTAGCAGAGTTTCCAAGGAATGGGAGGAAAGGAATCTGGGAAGATGGCAAAAGAAAGAGAAATATCACGTTGAGATACATGCATCACAATGACAAATGCTGTTGTTTGGGATTCAGACTACACCTGGCATCAGCCACTTGTGTTTCACCATCAACTCCAGCCACTATATTCAACACCAACAAAAAGGTGTGGGGAGTGAAACTTTTAATCGAATACACTCTCCTAGTTTTCCACTTCCAGATTATTTTCTCATACATACAGCAGCAGTTGGATTCTGTAAGTTGTAGTAAACAAATGCAGCTTTCTGAACTTGGAGTATCTCTCCAACATGTGAATGAAGTCTCACAAATCTCACACAGGCACAAACACTTGTAAAGAGTCCTGTCACATTACATAATTATAATACAATGATAACTGCTGCTATGGCTACATCCTATGGAATCCTAAGGTTTGCAGTTTGATCGGAGGCACTAGAATGTCCAAATTATTCCATATGGTGTTGCCAGGACAGTTAAAGTAGAATTATAGTGTTATAATATAATATTGTGAAAAGACTCATTGGCACAATTAGGAAATCCTCACTGTGGTAAGAAATGCCACTACATCAGCCAACTCCAAATAATACTCATGTTTGCCTTGCTGGTTGTCTACTGTTGCTTTAGCTCTAGAGAGGATCTAGTTTGTTGTACTAAAGGCAACTAGGAAAATGTGATTTGAATAGCAAAAAAGCACCAGAGAAAAGCCATAATTAGAGCCCTCCAACATTACATTCTTCAGTCTCTGAGATTCTTACTTGGATGCTGATAGAAAATAAACTTTCAATTGAAAGAAACCACACTCAGGAAGCGTAAGAGAGTAATTGAGCATGAACCTGTAATGGCACAATTAGAGCATTTTCTTTTTAGCCTAAGTAGCAGCAATGTTCTATCTGAGCCAGCTTTAAACATCCATTTTATGCATACATTAATGTCCTCTCAATATGTTCGCAGGGGCTTCATTTACTCTTAACCACCTGGCTGGACTCATTAGGTGAAAAAGTGGTTCTTTCCTACCTTGGTACTGCATGGTTATGATGAAATTAAGACTTCATAATTCATTTGTATGGCAACCAAAAATTCTAGACGTATGCCAAAAACAAGAACAGTAAGGGGTGTGCCAAAGCCAATTCTCCTCAATGCTAGGAAATTAAAATTGCTGTTTAATGAGAGAAGGAAAATGATTGCAATCTCTGACAAGTGGAGAAATTATTTAACATAGGTAGGCTCCTTTGAAGGTGTGTGAGTGTGTGTGGAGTCAGGGAGGGAGAGGTGGGAAGAAGAGAGAGAAGAGAAAGAGGGAAAAGGAGGTGGTTATCCTCTTTCACTCCTCCTTCTACCTACTTTGTTCTGCATGGGAAATTTCCAAGGAATGGGATCTATCCACAGGCAGCCCAGCTTGCACTGTGTATACCTAATAGTCTGTAATACGAGTCACAAAGTAAGCTGCAATTCATTCTATATGTACTTACCTGAGAGTGAGTCTCATTCATCTCATAGAGTAATTATAAGGAGTTGGAGGGGGGTGGGTGGTCCCATTGACACAGAGGAAAAATTAGAAAGTTGTTATTAATATTAGTATTTGATGTGCCATATAATAATAGTGTGGCTGTTGTGCAACTGTGCTAGAAGAAAACTATCTTTTGTCACTATCAGAGTTTGGCAAGGACAAATTCAAAATAACATTAGAAAGACTGGCTTGGGAAAAAGTTATCTAAGCTTAAATTGGGACCAGCACCCACAGATCTCACATTCTGGCCACAAGTTTTGATGTGATATGTTCCTTTTTGTTCAGCTTCTAATTACACCAAAAGAAAAAACAAAAACTGTGAGTTCTTGGGACTGTGCATTAGGAAGCTTGTATGACATTGGCTCCCATCATGATTAATGTAACCCATCATAGGGTCTACACTGCCATCAAACACAATTTCCATGAAGAAATGGGTAGACGCATGTCTCATACAAAAATTCTGAATTTTGTCATAAAGATGGCAAGGGCCTTGTTTCTTATTGTAGGGTCACAGATCAGAGATGTTGCACAAGTAACCCGTGGCACAATTATGCTCAGGTCCTGTATCCATATAACCAACACAGGAAGAGCTGAAGAGCAGCTGCAGGCACCTGATGGGGGTTAGCAGTAAAAGCAACCTTCTGTTTTCAAAGATTATCAAAGGTTCAGGATTATACCGCCATCACATGTACACATGTGGATACTTAGGAAGGAGTCGATTTGTATACTGTATGGTGATCTCCACAAACAACACCCATTCTTTTTTTCCTGGTTACACCATAGGAATATTTTAGATTAACAATTTAACAGGGACTTCCTTAGAAGCAGATGTTTTCAACTTCTAGCACATTCATCAGCAGGCTAACCATACATTCTTTGTTGGAAGGAAAACATGGCTTGGGGAGTCCTGTATGACAGTATGCAAATGGTACGAAACAGGGACACTTTGTGTGAATGCAGGTGTGCCAAGAATGATTAGAGCATTTGCCTGGTGCTTTTTTCTACAAAGAACATAGGTTTTGTCGCCTTACAAGGACTTCAGGAAACTGCAATATAGATACACAGATATTCTCAAATAAGACAGGGCTAGGGAAGGTAGTGTACATTCACACAAGAATACGGGTGTTTTCAGACTGGTGGTGGGTTCCAGAGAATGATTCAAGAGAGTGGGAAGCCACAGTGCTAAACAAGGGCTTTCGATGAATGATTCCCTTATAGACCTAAGCTATTACGTCACAGCCTTAAATACGAGAGAAAGAGGGAAAGTTATTTACAATAATAAACTATCCTTCTGCCACTGTCACCATCTCATTCTATTCTGGGGTCAAACTGTGGGTCTAGAATTAGGCTTCAAAGGCCAAAAATCTATCACTTAGATTTCACTTTTGACCAAGATCATACTTGACTGTTTTTGTGATTTGATACTGGAAAAGGCTTTATAAAGACTAATTTAATTAGGTTAGTCTGCTTTCTTTTTAATAAGAGTCATATGACACTAATTGCCACTTTCACATTGCTGCAGTCTGAGCAAAAATAGAGATTCTAACGTAAGCTTCATCAACACTGCATTCGTTCCAACGTTCTTGCAATTCTGGAATGATCTTTTGTCAGATATATCCAACAATGATACTTGACTTCTTCTTTCCCTTCTCAGTTTGGTTTTCAGGAAAGCCACCAGAACAGCAACATTGACTGAAGACTTCTGTTTCAGCATATCTTGCCCTCCTAAAAATCCATCAGTTCAAATGCGAAAGGAAGAGAGCGGGTTCCAATTATTCAATTCTGCTTCCAGTGTTACCTCTGGGATTGCAATTTAACAACCAGTCATAAGTCATCCATCCAGTCCGAAGTAGCATAGTGCCACAAGTAAGAAGGATTCATAACTGTTTGTTAATTTTTCTTCCACTTCATTCTTTGCACAAAAATAGTATGAAGTCTTCTAGTTCAAAATCTATACACATAGGAGGGTTTATGCACTTCCACGGGTTTCAAATCACATCAATTTAAATATTTGGAAAGTTAAAAATGTTTCAGTAACAACATTTTACAAAGACAGCTTGCCAAAAATATAGCTTGCCATCACAGGACCAGAAAATTCTAGACATATCCAATGTCAACTCAAATGAATGGCTTCACTATGACCGGTGCTTGGCCGCTGTGACGGTCTGGATGGGAGCGAACAAATTGAAATTGAATCCAGACAAGACAGAGGTACTCCTGGTCAGTCGCAAGGCCGAACAGGGTATAGGGTTACATCCTGTGTTGGATGGGGTCGCACTCCCCCTGAAGACACAGGTTCGCAGTTTGGGTGTGATCTTGGATTCATCGCTGAGCCTGGATTCCCAGGTCTCAGCGGTGACCAGGGGAGCATTCGCACAGTTAAAACTGGTGCGCCAACTGCGACCATACCTTGGGAGGTCTGACTTGGCCACGGTAGTCCATGCTCTGGTTACATCCCGTCTTGACTACTGCAACGCTCTCTACGTGGGGTTGCCTTTGAAGACGGCTCGGAAGCTACAACTAGTCCAACGTGCGGCGGCCATGGTACTAACTGGAGCGGGACGTAGGGAGCGCACAACTCCCCTGCTGTACCAGCTCCACTGGCTTCCGATTTGCTACCGGGCCCAATTCAAAGTGCTGGCATTGGCCTTTAAAGCCCTAAACGGTTCTGGCCCAACATATCTATCCGAACGTATCTCGGCCTATCAGCCCACCAGGACCCTAAGGTCTTCAGGGGAGGCCCTTCTCTCTATCCCACCTGCTTCACAGGTGCGGCTCGTGGGAACGAGAGATAGGGCCTTTTCTGTGGTAGCCCCCCGGCTTTGGAATGCCCTCCCTGTAGAGATAAGATCTGCCTCTTCATTGATGGCATTTAGAAAAAAACTAAAAACATGGATGTTTCAACAAGCATTTGGTTAAAATAATGCAACGAAGTTAATGACCAAGGATCGGCAATCACGGACGATGAGATTGGATTACGTTTTTTAGTTAAGAGATGCTTCGATTGTATTGGTGGCCCAATACTGTTTATGGTATATGTTTTTTATGTTTTTTATGCTTTTAAATTGTATATTGTTGCTGTTTTAGTGATGTAAACTGCGTTGAGTCGCCATTGTAGGCTGAGAAACGGCGGTATACAAGAGTAGTAAATAAATAAATAAATAAATAAATATTTCTTCTAGGTATTTTTAGCATGGGTTTTGTGTTTGATACCCTCCTTCTATTTGTTGGCTGTTCTAAACCACCATGGCTATGAGTACTATATTGCAGGATGACGTGCCAAACTGAAATAATGATTTTATGGGCTTCAGACTACACTGTGAAAATCTCAGGAGGCCATGTCACCTTCTTGAACTCTTGAGAGTTAACCAGCCAGACTCCAAGTAAAACTTTGTAGTTTCAGATAAGAGTGTACTTTTGCTACTTGATGAATATTGGGGACACCAGTCATAACTTGGATAAGAAAAGGTTCTCCCTCTTTATAAATCTTTGTTCATTCTTATTCAGTTCTGTTGTATGAGAACAGAGCTGAGAAGGGGCAGCCCTGCGGATGGGAAGCTTTCCCTTTCGTTGGTTCTACCACAACCCAATTTAAAAGAAACACTGGAATGAAAAGTTTGAACACCTGGACAAAAGGGGAAAGGGAGGGGGGAAGGGGCTATGGAAAGGCAACAAAGCATTAGCTTACACTGACCAGAAAAAAGCCCATCTATGCACAGTGGTGCAAGCCAAGCTATTTTACACAACAGAGCACAAGGGCACAAAGTGCTCACACTAGGTCAACCCTGATTCACTAGTTTTGAAGACAACAGTGGGCAGGATTGCCATTTTGCCTACCTAGCACTCTCTCTATAGACTGCATATTTATAAGTATGTATACAGTTTACCACATGCATTTGTTTCAAAAGGAACTGTACATTGCCCAGGGAATTGCTCCCCCTTGAGCTTCTTGGAGGGTTATTTTGTTTCATTTTTTCCGGGCTAGGATGGCCACTCCAACAATCACCGCTATGGCAGCCACTGCCACTCCTCCAAAGACAATCAGGGGCTTCATATTCTCAAAGATGCTGCAGCCGCCACCTGGTGATTCCTCTGTGTTGTTCCCTTGGTGTTCAGAGTCAGCGGGAGTACGAGCGGCAGCTTCAGCACCCTCGGAGGCTGCGGGGCTGGGTTTTATGTTGCTATGGTCATTGAGCATGCTGGACTCGTTGGCTGCTGGTGCCCCTTTTTTCACTGGGTTGGTGACGGGAGCTGAAGGCTCCTTTGAAGAGGTTTCTTTCTTATCAGTAGTTGCAGTGGAGCCAGAGCTGGGCTTCTCAGGCTTTCCTAGGCCAGCGGTCTTGGCATCAGCTTTGTTTCCACTTCGGACGCTCCCTTTGGACTCCATACCCCTCTTAGTTGAGAATCACTCCCGTTCCTGTTCCCAGATCGAAGCCAAGGGTGGGATGTGAAAGAGGCTACTGGAGCTGTCCTCTTCACTTGGTTCTCACAAGCCAATCCAAAAGGGCTGCTTCAGATTGCTTGGCCTTTGGTCCCCCTGAAGGATGTCCTGCTCAGACTATATTCTGCATGGACCATGTTATGGAATCTAGAAGGAAAAAACAAAACAGAAGGGCTAGAGTTATCTTCTGGAGCAGCACAGTCATTCGTCCACATTCTCTGGGATTATGGGCCCAGAACACCTGTGAAAATGAATAATGGAAATAAAGAAACTGTTATATTTTTACCTGAGAGAATACTTCTCTAACATGACTCTGTGATCTGCTGGAACCTAACCATAGATATGAACTGAAGAACCTAAGAGATTCTTGGAGAGGGGTACTCTACAAAGAATCCTCCAGTGTGATTGGAGGAAGTTGACCATAGAGTTGCACTGGAGGATCTAGAATTTCAAAGAGAAAGCATTTTCATCAAATCTGTGAATAATCAAACCTATCAAAGTCAAATCTGCAAATGTGGAAGGTTAAGTGTATTTCTCCACTTTGAGAGCTGGGTGTCTTGATAATTTAATAGACTGTACAGTGTTCCCTTACTACTTCACGGTTCGCTTTTCACAGACTCGCTGTTTCACAGTACTTCAATAAATATGAATTTAAAACATGTAGTGAAAATATTTTAAATATTCTCCCCCACAACTTCCTTTCCTTCTCCCCCACAACTTCTACACACACTCTCAGCCCTGAGCTCCGAGTCTAGCCCGTTACCTATTAGGATCCCCACACAGATTTCGTGGTTGGTTAAAATCATCCCCTCCAATGCCATGTTTCCCAGTGCAGCCACCACTCTGATAGGGAGGCAGGTGCGGGGAGCCCTGGGGGGGGGGGGGGGGGGGGGGGGAGGAGGAGAGGAGGGGGAGCCAGGCACACGAGGAACCAATGGGGAAGTGTGGTGTGCAAGGGGAAGAGGGAGGGACTGAGGGAGAAGGGAGGGGGAAAGAGAAGAGGAAAGAGAAGGCAAAGGGGTTTAGTGAGTGAGTAGGGGAGGGGGAGAGGAGTGGGCAGTCTAAAAGTTTCCTTTATAAGGTAAAGGAAAAGGGTTGTGTAGTGTATAAGTGTGTGGGGAGGGTTTATAAAGACTTACAATAGTGTATACCTACTGAAATAATGTATAAATATTGAAATAAATATAGCATCCCTACTTCACAGATTTTCACTTATCGCAGGTGGTCCTGGAATGTAACACCTGCAATAAATGAGAGAATACTGTATTATTTCTTCAGTAGGAGTGCTGCTGTCATATGTCCCGCATAGTAGACCGATGATCAGCGATCTAGTGCAGGGTTAAGCACACAGTGCAAGTCAGAATTCTGAGGCTCTCCAGACCTTTGGCAGCCTGTACAACAGCTAAAAGTGATGTGTTTGACGACTGAAAGTCAGTCCTAATCACAATTAAGTGAGAATTTCTTGTTATTTATGGATAGCAATTGCTCTTTTACCAAAAAAAAAAAACCAGCATTTGCACATTAAATGTGTTTATAAGCATGGGCAGGGTTTCACAGGGGGAAACAAATAAATAAATGTCCAATTTTTAAAAAGGAGTGCAGTGTAAATGGGGAACTATCAGAAAGTAAAAGAAGAAAGAGGAAGCACAGAAAGGCCTGAGTGCATGAACTTCTACAGGAAGTTCACGAACAGCATTCTGTCTGTGGCAATGTTCATTCAATCATTTCAAGCCTTGACCCAGAAGTTTTTAATTGCTTTTAAAGCTTTTTAATTGCTTAATTAATCTGCCTCATGCTTTTAATTTGTACTTGCTCTATTGTTGTTCTTGTTAGCTGCCTTGAAAGAGAGAATGTGGTGGTAGAAATCTAGCACAGTAGAGTCTTGCTTATCCAACCTTCGCTTAGCCAACATTTTGTATTATCCAACGCAGTCTGCCTCCCACCTGGATCCACACCTGTTGCACTGTTTTGGTGCTAAATTTGTAAATACAATAAATATTACATAACGTTACCATGTATTAAACTGCTTTTTCTATCGCTTTGTTGTAAAACTTGATATTTTGGTGCTTAATTTGTGCCTTTGCCTTTGTAAGCCGCCCTGAGTCCCCTTCGGGGTGAGAAGGGCGGGGTAGAAGAACCCCAAATAAATAATAATAATAATTTGGTGCTATCGCTTTGTTGTAAAACTTGATATTTTGGTGCTTAATTTGTAAAATCATAACATAATTTGACGTTTAATAGGTTTTTCCTTAATCCCTCCTTATTATCCAACATTTTCACTTAACCAATGCTCTGATGGCCCATTTATGTTGGATAAGCGAGACTCTACTGTAACTAAATAAACCTAGATATATCACAAAACTCAAGGCACTAGAGGAAACTATAACTTCAGTAGTAAAGCATAGAACTGACATACTGTGCAAAAACTTCAGGTTGAATTTCTGACATCTCTAATCATGGCTAGGAAAGATTCTTTGAAATCTTAGAAGGCCCTATCACTCAAACTAGATTTGGAATAATTTGGAATAATTTGAAATCTTAGAAGGCTTTATCACTCAAACTAGATTTGGAATCATTCTGTTCAGTTTTCAGTAAATTCCAATGTATATTTTCATATGCATGCTTAGATTTGATTACTGACAGGGCTAGGAAACATTACTTAGTATACCTCTATGAATCTCACACCAAGCTACCATGGGCACCAGCCATGCTGCCTGAGAATTTAGACAGTTGTATCCTGGTTAAAAATAGAAACAAACACGTTTCAAAGTCTAAATTAAAAACCTGTTCTTGGTCATAGAAAAAGATTCTTGATCACAGACACTGCCAATATTTCCCCATTCGTTATAAATTAATCCATGTGGTTTATTTTCAGTTTTTTAAGAAAAAGTAATATGACATCCAAGAGGTCACAGAAATAATGGCATTGAGAGAGCAATATCCTTTACCTGAAATGCTTGGGACCAGAAGTGTTCTCTATTTTGGATTTTAAAATTTGTTTAGAATACAGTACATTTTTGGACTATCTTCATACCTAATTTGTTCACTACTAATGATCAAGATGCAAGGGTGAAGAGAGACTGAGGATTTGTGAAATGACAAGGATCCAAGTGCAATACTCAGTGTAAATACCTGTCTCCCAACATTTCACATATCCCTGCATGTATTTCTTTTTGCTGCCAGCTGCCCACATTTGACTTTGAAGGGACGTCTGTCACCCTCCTGTTTGTTAATCTCTTCTGCCCCAAAGTGGAAGCAGGGACTAGAAGCAAAAAGTTTTGGGATTTGGAAATTTTCAGATTTTGGAATTCAATCTAATTTACAGAATAAAGGGGAAAGATAAATATAAGGAATTAAATAAAATTATCCTCATGATCAAACAATAATAATAAGTACAGCAAAATTCGTAATTTTGTGTAACATATATATATATATATATAGAGAGAGAGAGAGAGAGAGAGAGAGAGAGAGAGAGAGCGTTAAGGGAGGTCAACCTTAATGTATACTTTAGTTAATGCTTCCGAGGTCAAGGTATTGTCAAGGATGCTACAAGACAACCCCTTCTCCAACCCTCTTCATATAACTTCTACGCTTATATGAAGTGCAGAACTGGACAAATATTTTATTGTTTGAAACAAAATTTTAAATATTTCCCGCCCTAATTCATGAACAGAATCTGAGTGGACTAATAGTTGAATCAAAGTGTAACAAATAGATACCACCTTCCTTCAGTTAGGAGTAATTTAGTAGCTAATGAATTCTGCCCTTCAGCACTTCACCCATTAAGTTCTCTCGCCACATAGCCGAGCGGTGTGTGTGATGCCCCTGTAAGTGCTGCAACATATTCCTTGTGCAATTCTGGATAAAAGACTAGACCATGTAAAATCTCCCCAAAATATGTGGTGGGCTAACTGAAGTCACAAAGGCATCCAACCTGGTGTCCTCCCAACCTGCTGGACTGCAACTCTCATAAACCCAAAGACAGTCTTGAGAGCATGAGTTTGGAGAAGGTCTCTCCACAGAGGTTCAGTGGCCTCACAAGGCACATAACTAGTATACTTGTAAATAAAGTGTAAGCAAAGAAAATGGTGCTCATTAGTAATAATCTTTCCAATTAGCCCTCAGGATTTTCAGAGCACTGTAGGGAGCTTTTGTCCCAGCGAAGCTAAATATAGGCCCAATAACACGATTTGCTGAAAATGAGAAGGTCTTGGCAAACCTTCCCTACTCTCTTCTTTTGATGTTTTTTCAATTGAAAATGAAAACAAGTAGGGAAAGTTTATTTATCTCTTGTTACCATCTGAATAGCACGTGTAACTATACTCTCTCTTCCAAGGCAGACAAGCAATCAATAATAAAACGTCTATTGCTCCATGCTCATCCATGACCAACTGAATGGGCTTTTAGAATGATGCTCATTGTGGCCATTGCACAATGTGTGTTTATCAGAAAACAATTTTCCACTCCAGGCAGAATAGTTGAAAAAGTGGACTTGCTACAATATTTGCATTCATCTGTGCACTACAATCCACTCAAAGTTTTACAAAGCAGATGTTTAAAAAAAACCCTGTAATTTATGGTGTATTAGAACTGACTAAATATTCAACCACTGAAATAATACCTCTACTTTAGCTGGGATAGCAATTGGAGTGAGGCCTAGATAGCAATTTCACCCTTTCCAAAATAAGAGGAAAACTGTGAAAATGTTAGTCTTCTGCCTAGTGTTGCTCTCACATTGTAGGAAGGGTAATGCAGTCTAGTGAGTGTGGAGGACATCTCCAATATGTCTGGACATTCCCTGAACTTGCCAGTGATCAAACAAAAAATGTATCCCTGAATGCTCTTGTGAGGGATATGGGGAGGGGCATTTCCATGTTAGGCTCAGGAGAAGCCTTTAAAAAAAAACACACATTGTGAAAAGAATGTGACTTCAACTCACTTTCTATTGTTAAAAAAAATCTCCCAGGGCCACAACTCTTCCACAGTTTCCCAACCTTGATTGAGTATAGAATCATAGAGTTGGAAGTGACCTTGTGGGCCATCCAGTCCAACCCCCTGCCAAGAAACAGGAAAACAGAAAAATCAGGCAGGCCCCTTCGTTGCTGGTGTTTCGGAGGAGGGTTAAGACGTGGCTCTATGAGCAGGCG